AGAGAGAGAGAGAGAGAGAGAGAGAGAGAGAGAGAGAGAGAGAGAGAGAGAGAGAGAGAGAGAGGCACCTGACTTGGGAGGAGAGGGAGGGGAGCGAGCAGACTGACAGTAAAGGTCTGACGAGCTCACAATCGAGTCAAGTTTTTAAGGTTTGCCAGCTCCTTAGGAATGTCCTCCCCAAATCCGTTGGCCCTTATGCCTCTGAAGCACATTTTCATTCAACACATGCAAACAAAATGGATTAGCAGTCGCATAATGTTCAGTGAAACAACAACTGTGTCGCAATTACCTCGCAGTGCTTGTTAGAGCCATACCAGTCATGCACGTGCAAGGTTGTTCCTCACAGTCTCATCCTTTCATCAATTAACGAACTATGCTGGGACTCCTTTTTGTTTTTCGATATCATGTATTACCAACTGTAGCCAACATGTAAATCGGCGCTGAATCTATGCCCTGCGACATTGAAAACACAGGCACGCAGCACTCCTACCTCTTCTTACATACCTTCTAGAAACCCTTTCACTGAACATGGTCTCCTCACTCGCGAACCTGACAGACAGCACAAGCAGGTATTGATACTGCAAACCACCCGTGTATGTTTACACACCTGTAAGTTTTGACTGACAAGGTACTTTCCTGGCATCAGGGCTCCTACCCAAGCATAGTGGGTGAGCAGGGCAGTTCATGGGCCCATTCATGACCAGTATAGTGGGCCAGTTAAGTGGCTTGGTTTGGCCCAGATAATGGGCCAGCACAGTGGGCCAGTTGAGCGGGCTCCAGATAATGGGTCAATATAGTGGGCCGGGATATTAGTTCAGCATACTGGGCCAGCTCAGTGGGCCAGTTTAGTGGCTCAATTTGTCCACGGTACTCAGCCAACATAGTGCGCCAGTTCAGTGGGCTCAATACGGTTGGGATGAGATGTGGAAAGGGCCAGTTTAGTGTCTTAATTTGGTCACCTTACTGGGCCAGCATAGTGGGCCAGTTTAGTGTGTGTGTTCCCAAAGCAGAGGCGCTACGCAAGTAGCACCAACAAACACGAACTCCCAGTAACTCCGGAGCAGATGGAAGACATCAGGAAGCCCAGCAAAGCTAAGAGGAGCTTATCTGGGACAAGCGACAGAGACACCCAAGACATAGCAGCGAAGTAACAGGAACAGGGGTAGAGCAGTGGTAAATTCTTCGTTTTGGCGGAAGCAATCACTGGCGCTTTCTCAGTATCTCTCAGCACGGACGGAGGTAAGCATTGTGTGACTATTTTATGCAAGGAACGCTATGATACAATTTTCTTTTGTGGAAAAAACTGTGTTCCCAAATGTGACATTGACTGCCCGAAAGTGAAGTCCTATCAAAGCAATCACAGACTTAACGTCACTCAGTAAATAATAAGCACGTCCAGAAAGGCTGACAGTATCTTTCTCTTCTCCTTTTCCCTTTTTAAGGTTAAAAAATGGCACTCACAGTGTTTCCAGCTGGATGAGCTTCCCAATCGAATGTGGAAGGGGTCCATTGAAACCATTGGTGTTCAGATCCCTGAGAAACAGAACGAACCAGACAAAAGAAAATAACTTTTTGAGAGAATTGAACATAAAGTGTCACAAACACACGAGCAAATTGTTCATCACCATGACAATGCAGATATCTCTACAAGAAGCTCAACATCCTCACATCAGATAAAAGCATCACAAAGCTAACACACCTCTCCTCATACAAATAGAAGTACATGCTGCTGATCACTGTGGAATCATCATAGCGTGATGCCTTGAAGATGCACTCGTGTGCATTACCTTCCACAGGGGCAATGTCAATCCTCTCTGGACGGTTCCCATCAACAGTTTCCGAACTGACGGACATATTCTCTTGCATTCCAGCTGATCACTGTGGAATCATCACAGCGTGATGCCTTGAAGGTGCACTCGTGTGCATTACCTTCCACAGGGGCAATTTCAATCCTCTCTGGACGGTTCCCATCAACAGTTTCCAAACCGACGGACATATGCATTCCAGCACTGGTATGAGGACCAGTCAGCTTCATACCTCCAATCCTCTCTGGACGGTTCCCATCAACAGATTCCAAACCGACGGACATATTCTCCTGCATTCCAGCTGATCACTGTGGGAATCATCATAGCGTGATGCCTTGAAGGTGCACTCGTGTGCATTACCTTCCACAGGGGCAATGCCAATCCTCTCTGGACGGTTCCCATCAACAGTTTCCAAACCGACGGACATATCCTCTTGCAGTCCAGCACTGGTTTGAGGACCAGTCAGCTTCATACCTCCAATCCCACTTTTCTCATTCTACTACTTCAAAGGCACCACCTGTTCCATCTGTGTCCAATGGACTATAGTCCTAACCCCTAACACTGCCATATTCATCTGACTCCGCCAGGACTTGAACTCATACTATCATTTCGTTTGTATACCATTCACCCATAGGGCCTAGGCCTTTCCAGAACATTCCTGGATTATCCCCAAAATTTAAAACCCCCCTCCCCCCTTCATAGTCAGACTCTTCTGCACTTTCTTTCCCAAGCTTATGCTGCAATCGGTAATCCACAGGCGACTTCATGTCCCTTGGGACTGTGTCATTAGCTCCGCTGGCAACTGTGTCATTGAGTGCATTTTGGGACTACGGAAACTCAAAATGTGGCTCAATTATAAATACGGTCAAAATTTTCTTTGTAAGAAATGGGGCTCCTCTTCCGTGAGGAGGAGCACTTGAATTACCTTCAGAGTAATAGGAAAATTAAATAACCTTCACAAAGGAGAAAGGAACACAAGAATTCCAGGTGTCAACCCCTTTTTCTCATTCCTTGCATGATCCCTAATCTCTCTGAGGCAGAGGTACCCTCGTATAGATTTGCTGCTTTTACTAAGCAGCTCACTGGTTAGAATCCTGATGGAGTTGGATGAAAACAATAATGTCAAAAACCACCCTCTTTAGGACAAAAAAAGAAGTCGCACAATCCCTAATCTCCTTTGCGTGATCCCTACCCTCTCCCTTTCAGAATCTCTCCAGATGACCTCACGGGAACATGTCTTCCCATGACGTCAGGGACGATTACGTCGATTAGGCACTTATTTATCATGAATGGACTCCTACTCAGGGCTGATCCCATGGACCGGGGACCCCTCTCCCAACCGGGGTCCTCCCGGATGGACCGGCCGGTGGACCGGGCCGGTTCACTCCCGGTTGCCCCCAGCGCATTTTCGCTGGCGGCCGAAAAAAATATTTGGCGACGCAGTTGTGCTCTTGAGGCCTCGTGGGGGTGGGCCCTACCCCGCAATTTGGAAACAGGGTCCCGTAGACCCGTTTTTTTTTCATTCGAAGTACTGGCCAGTCTTGGCCGCCGATCGTCGCAGATCAGCGGCTAAGATCGGCTGCTGTTTGAAATCGTTGCGGGCCGGAGAAGCGGGAAATCGAATCGCGCAGCGGGGGAAAACGCATTGCGCGTTCAACCCCGCTCACCTACGCTCCGTGCAGCTGTCCGCTCGCTGCAGCCCCGCCGTCGTTGCCTCCGCCAGCCAGCCGCACCATCGCTCGGTGCAGCCGCACCATCGCTCGGTGCAGCCGCACCATCGTCGCCTCCCCCCAACCCCGACACTTTCCCGCCTCACGCCGACCCCGACTCCGCCTGGATCGCGCTTAATCGCGATCCCCTTCCCCCCACCACCTCCATCCCGACCTCTCCCCACTTCTTCCCC